CTTTTTAGTATACAGTGGGATATGTCATTTTTAAAGCGTGCATAAAATCAAATTTCCGTGACATTCTGGTGTATATGAAGCAGATAGGTTTACAAAAAACTAAAAATTAACACTGTGCACTGAAAAAAATGTTACGAGTATAGTTCGATTTTCCTCGACAATACATTACATCAGATGATTTTTTACAGTATCCTTGACTCAAGCGCCTATGGGTGTCACCGGTCGACAGAGGATGCTCACTCCTCCAGGGCACCTGATACCACCTCTGATGTTTTGGAGGTCCGTGTTTTCTCTGCCCCTATTGGGTATTGCTTTATAGAATTTTGATCTTGAATACTGTTCGGTTTCTCCATATGTTTCACTACAATGTAGGGACGTTAACATACACATCCAGGCCCAGTTAGGTACCCTTGAGGCATATGTGCAAGACATATAACATGGAATGCAAAGACCATACGATGTGACGGATGCAATATCTCATACCATAGTAAATGTGAAAATATTGGTCCATTTGCACTTTTAGTCTTGAAAGCAAAGGTACCTAGCTTTTACCTCAGTTGGATGTGTACATACCGCGGAATCCCAAACACATAGTAACAACATAGTGCTGAACTATTTAATTATTCATCTGACACTATTTATTCACAGCTATCAAACATCAACATCGACACCCCCCAACTTAAACCACCCAAGACCAAATCTCAATATACTGCGAATTCGAAACAGAAGATAAATGTCATCACATGAAAAAGTATTTTCCAATCCAGAATCTTCAATAGTATCTGATGCTATATTATCGCCATCATACGCAAAGTGATTCAAACAACAATACATCACACTACAAGGCAGAAAACAATCTAATTTTCCTCGTTATTACCTTCCAAAATTTAAGGAGTAAAAACAGACTTGTATAATATACGAAGCATGGAACCAGATGTCATCATCGGGGATGAGACCTATCTAGATGACCATATCTAGATGCATAAATTCTACCCTCTGGAATACTACCTGAACACCAGCACATAGTATAAAGGAAAGACAGGAAAACTCTTATTGATAAAGTTGGGGGTGATCATCATGGTAAAGCCAACTTACGATTGTAAAGACTGACCAGGTCTAGATGATGCATACGAACTTAAGTGGGTAAAGATAGAAACAAATAGGAAAGATGCAGTCTTAAGACTATACAGAGTTTAACAAATTAAATTGAATACACCCATGAAACGTAAACTGTTTTTGTAATTAACAGGCACGAGCTCTGTTGTTGTTAATATTTACGTTTCACAGGGTGTGTTGAATGGCTAAATTCTGCAATAACATATAAGAATACATAGGAATATATTTCTCAAGAACATTGAGGCCATGATTGGTCAAAACTGGAAGCATGTCATGGTCGGGAAATAACGGGATAATCCGTCGTCAATTCAGTGTGAAGGATATGGAGATTACGAACAGTATTCAATATCAAAGTCCATAAAAAATATAAAAATGGAGCAAACAAGGACCTCTAAAACATCAGAGGTGGGATCAGGTGCTCCTTGTCATGATCGGGAAATGACGGGAAAATCCGTCATCAATTCAGTGTATAAATATTGGACTAACAATTAGTATGAAAAACGTCAGTCAGTATTTGACTCAATAATAAATTGCATTTGCTGACATGGTCATCGTATCGACCAAAGAACTTACGAAATTATGTCTTTAAACGAGACTGCTGATATTCTTGTTTCATCCTGTGACTAAGCGTTGTCACGCTGTTGTGTAAACCTGTACTGTGAATCTCAGCTGAAGATGGTCAAAATAGTTTTTTAAAACTGCCCTTGTCTTCTCTGATCAATACATGGCATCTTTTGAGTCTCAGCTCAACAAGTTAATGGGGAACTGTCCCATATGCATTTGCTAGATCTAGCCAGATGACTGCCAACTCCCCTTTAGACTCCTTGGTTTCCTGGATTATCTCTGTCAGTACACTTATATGCTCAATACATTCTGATACTCCGGGTACTCCTCCCTTCTGCACAGATATATCAATGTACTGATTTTCGATATTGTCCAAAATTGTTTCAGTACTTCTTATTTCTCTTCTTTGGGTATAAAAGAGCATTCTGCTCTGTATCAGTTATCTACCAATCGACCTCTCCTCCAAACCACTCTTATCAGTTTCCAGAGGCGCTTTGTCAGCCGTTGACAGTTCTTATAAACTTTATACGGAACCCCGTTTGTTTCAGGTGCTAATGCTGCTCTGGCTTTCTTGATTACATCTACCACTTCTTTTAGCTTTGATGGTGATTCATCAAAGAGTTGATTTGGTTCTTCCGGATGTATCAACTGCTCCCACTCTCTAACTCTTCCTCTGTATTTGGATCATTGTGCATCTCCCGCAAATATTCTGAATGTCTTCCTTCGAAGATTTCAATGTTCCGGACCCTTTATTTCTTAGTAATCTTGATGTAAACTGGAATGGATCTGCGGTGAATCTTCCTCTTGCCCCATCTCTCTGTTTTCTTCTGCGCCTACTTCTCTCTGCTCTTCTTGCTAACTTGAGATGTTTCCTGATGTCATCTCGTAACTGTTATAGTGCTAGTTTCTCCTCTTCTGTAGGCTTCCCATATTGCTTCCGAAGCTGCCGCAGGTCTTTTCTCATCTTAGCTATTTTTTTTCTCTCTCTCTCTCCTGTTCTTCCTTCCCTCTCTTGTGACTTTTTCCTTTGTTCTGCGACAAACCTGTCTAGACCTTTGCTGTATACAATTGATGTCATAGCTTCTATTTTGCTGTAAATACTGCCTGCAAAAATTGTGTTCAGAATTTCGTCCACATCTTGGTCAAACCGTTCCCAGTCCCTTTTGTTGTTACTGTTTGTCCATTTTACTTTCCTCTTCCTTATATTTTTGTCAGTACCCTGTTTTCTCCCATCCCTTCTTACTGTTGGTTGCTGCTCTGTGATTCGTTGTTTTCCTCGCAGTCATGGCTTTCACTGTATGAAGCCTCGTCATTACCTAACACATGGAGACTGCGGTCACTGTGGTTTTCGTCCTGAACCACTTCCTCCTCCCTCTCACCAGGTTGCCCTATGCGTTGTGTCAGCTGCTGATCTGGCTTACATCCCATCCTCCCCTTATGGATTTTAAGCCTCTTTTGATTCTTGCATACTTTCCCACAGCTGCATACATTTCCACTATTCGTATTCGTCGTCGTTTAATCGTTACCTGGTTGTATCCTGATTTTCCTTCCCAACAGGTCGTTCATCCTTCCCACTCTCGTGCGACCTCGGGATGTCCAAGTATGTATCTGTCCATAGCGTGATGAAATGGGTCCTTCCTCACGGAAGTTGTGCTTTGGCCTGCTAAAGCTCCACACCCCTGATTCCAGTCTCTCCTGGTTGTCTCATGTCTCTTCAGGTTTTCACTAAACTTTTCTCAGTTGTCAGCCAGACTTTCCTGGTTGTCACTGGTTTCCCATATAATATTACTTGTATAAATCTTGATGGAAAGATGCGTGGTTCCATCCTCAGGTGGATCCTCCTTCATTGGCTGTTTCGGCGCTGTCCATTACAGCCTCCAGAGGTGTGCCGACTGGGGTGATCAGGTCCCAGTCTGCAATCACTTGGCTCTACATCACTGCTGTTCTATTTTAATGTCTATCTCACTACTGTTTATTGTCTTTCCACTTCTCTGCTCTTCTTCACAACCAAACGGACGCTGATTCCGCCTCCCTGCACAGACTCCCTTTCAATCTCCTTCTCTCTGCTCCCGTTATGTCAATGACTCTCAGTGCCCTCCACATAGACTGCCCCAAGAATCCTCTACAACCCACTTCCACTGCAAAAAACCAGACCTTCCATCCATTCTGTTGACAATCCTTCATGGTCTTGGTACTTAAGATTTTTCCTTTCGTACGCATCCTCCATCCTGTCTTCCCATGCCACTGTTAATTCCAAAATAATTGTATGTCTCGTTAACCATTGACAAAGGACTACATCCGGCCTCTTGTTTGTCACTATTATTTCATATGGAAATACTAATCTTTCATTGAGGTTTGCCCGCATCTGCCAATCTAGCTGTTGCTGTCCCCAGCAGACCACTTCCTTCAACACTAACCTTACGTCCTTTTCACCTTCTTTCACAAAGTTGACTATCTCAGGCCCTCTGTGCTCTTCTTGGGCCTTTTGATAACTTACTCCAAGGTGTCAGCGATACTGGCTAGGACTCTATCATGTCTCCAAGTGTATCTCCCATCTTTCAAAGCTTCTGAGCAAGCTGATAATATGTGCTCCAAGTTTGCTGGTTTACCACAGATCGAGGACACACTTTGGATCAAATGTCACACCCCATTTTACCAGATTAGTTGGGCTGGGAAGAACATCATAAACTGATTTCAGCTTAAACTGAATTAAGTTTTCTCTGTGATTACTCTTTGAAATTTGAAAAATTTGATTTCTTGATAATTCTATCGGGTTGTTAATTTCGCCAAGAAATAGGTTACGAGCTAAGGAGGCCTTAATGCATGTAAATCTTGTGCGTCTTTCTCGGTATTTTACGCTAAGTATTATAATATGGATGTAGATCTTGTGCGTCTGTCTTTGTGTTTGGGTTCAGTGTGCGGGGAATATTGAAATTAACATGAGATTCTGCGTGTATATTTGAGCTCTATGCCTGTCTTGTATCTCGATAACTGAAATTCAAATTTTTGATGATCATTAGCAGGGACGTAGCAACAGGGGGGGGGGGCCTTTGACCTTTGATAATATTTGTAAAAATAGAGAAAAAAAAATTTTTTTACAATTTTTAGCTGAAACTGTGTCCATGTCCCTTAAATCAGCTGTTAATGGCAGTTTGATGTATTTTAATTAAGATTACTGTTCAATCTAAATGCATTTAAATGCCGTGAATAAACATTGGAATCAAACGTGAAGTCTGGCCTCATAAGGACTACATGTCGCCCACTGCATGAGTGGATCCGCCCAGATATAACTCATCACATGACAAAGGAGAGCGGAAATGTCAAGCGCCCTCTTGTGATAAAAAACAAGGCGACATTTTGGGGAAAAATGGCACCGGAATTCGGTGAATTTGTCGTTTCACGAAGATAGACTAATGGGAGTATCTTTTGCAGCGCATTAGAATGAAAACTTCTATCCTCTGATTAAGGTAAGTTCAGGCAAAACAGGCCTGAAAAATCACTGTTTACACTTAGTGGAAAGACGATATCTATTGACACCTGCTTTCACCTGAAGAACAGGTAGATGTTTTTTTTACAATACGTGTTTATGCAAAAAGATAATACATCTGATTATAGATAACGACCACAGCCACCGCTAGCGCACATAGTTAGCGACTTTAAATAAGGGGAAGTTTTATGCATGTATTGTTTTAAAGAATTTTTTTTTAATTGTGAAGTTTTTATGGTGTGTTTGTTGATTTTTGCCGTCGGTGCTACCTGAATTTCCGGTATTTTATTTTTGGTAAAATCGGTAGCTTTGTCTGATTTATTTATCTGATGCACGTGTTTCTTATTTTGTTGATCGTCATATTAAAAAAATTTTTTTTGAATTAAGATAAATATTCAGCGTACTCTGGTTCAATATTATATCATGTTCTCTTTAGAAAATTATGTAAACGCCCAATATGTAGTCAAATGAGTCACAAATGTATTTTTTTTAAAATTTGTTTTATGTCTGATAAAATTTTTAGAAACATACAGATAATAATTTTGTTGACGAAGTGACCAATTGAGCAAGTTGTGCGGGTATTATAACTGAATACCAAATAACTTTTAATTTAGTTTCTTTTTTCAAACTGCAAGAAGCATTTGTAACGTCTAAATTTGTGATGTTAAATGATCTTCGTCATCATATCAAAAGCATTTCAATAACAAAGTCTGAAAAAAACAAATTTCTAATAAAATTTTAAAGTTTTTTTTCTACTTTCTATCTGTTATGTCTATTAATTATCTATATTATAAACTATTTTTGTTGTTATGTGAAAAGGGAAATATAGTGAGATGCATTCATGTTGCAACATGTATCTCTAAGTATCTGCTGAAAAACATGAAAAAAAATCATCTAGGTCAATGTGTAAAGTCCAAACCTTCTTCCCACAACTTGTTTACGCTTCCTATGAAAGAGTTTATTGTAACAAAACTTGAACATCAATATTTTTGACTGATTTTTAGATCATATTTGACTCTATTGAGAAGGATGGTGTAGGCAAACTGTAAATGGATTATCTGCAATGCCACTTGAATAAATTGGTATACTGTATAGACTATAGTATAAAACTGAATTAACTTATGCAAATGAGGCTAGTGATATCTGATTTTATGTATTTTTTTTTAATGTGTGTGAATTATCAGGAAAAAGGGATTTTTTTATGAACGTATGCTGATATTATTGTTTTTTTTTAGTAGTTTGAATTGCAATTAACAATTCTTATGAATTATAAGACTTTAAGGCAATCATAACTTTAGAATTAACTCTGATAAAATAAAGTAAGTCAAAATAACACTGTGATAGTTACCCTATTAGTAAATTTGTGTGGTGTACATTTAACCCCCCCCCATTACTCTGAAATATAAGTTTTGAAAGAGCTGAAAATTCAAAGGATTTTAGTTAGTTTATGTTGTTGTTATTTTATAAATTATTTAAACATTCATGTTTGTTATAGACACTGCCTGCAAAAGCCATTTCCAAAAACTAAAGTGAATCAATTAATTCAGTTATTTCAGACATGCTGTTTACATATTTTTTCCTTGGTTTATAAATTGCTTGTACACACTTTCTCCTGATGGATTTTTCACCCTTTGCCATGTTTACAGTGTAGTCATTATTGGCCTTATATCTGATACAGTAATTGAACAGACATCTATTTACATGATTTAGTAGATAACAAATAGGCAGTGTTGTTCTTTAGCGTTCCTCTGTTTTGATGAGATTGCACTGTTTGGATGCTGAGCCAATCAGATATAGAGAGATATAAGATTCAGGACTACCTGCAGTTGTAGTATAAAACTGTCAATCTCTTTTGTTCACAAAGTGTTTATTGAGGTGATCTATAGCTTAATTAGGTACAGTTTAGTTGTAATGAAGACCAAAGGATGAGGAATCCATTCCTGGTGTCTTTGATCAGTTTTCTTGTGAGGAAGCCGGTTCCTGGAATTCCCTGACAGAAAACATAAAACCACCAGAGATATTAAGCTGCCATCACCTACTGTGATGAAGTGGCTCCGTCTGCCAGAAAAAACAGGCTGAATGTTCTCCATTCTGTTACAATGTCACAGCTATCGTCTAAAACTGGGTTACAGATTCTCTAATGTCAAAAATTTATGTGGCTTAATTGATGTGAATTCTGTAAAATATATCTTATAAGAATGATATTTACCAATAATTCAATATTTTTGATATTTTAAATGCTTTTTTATGGCAAGTTATTCCTAGATTAAGATTTGAACTATTTCCCCCTGAAATTTGTCACGAAGAGTATTTTTTGTTTCAAAACACATAGAAAATTACTATTGGACGATACTCACCTCCCCTGATCCTGAATCCCACATGCAGCAACATTCTTTATACCGATACATACTGTAAAGTCATTAATTTTAAAGGTTCTATCAAAACCTGCACACCTAAAGTTTATGAATCTTTTGAGACAAATTGTGTTTAAAGTTCCTCAATCTTTTTGATTCTTAAAATATTTCAGCATTTTAATAACAAAGTTATGGTGAACATGATATTTCTATCTTTAGCATGGGAATAATGTGGTATTTAGAGGCTTTGCCTGTTGCCAAATCTAATTTGTTTCTATGAATAAAATAATGTTTTAACTGTGGACCAGGAGTTTTTCACAATTACGATTCTAAAACTTCTACGACTCGATCTTGTCCTGAGTAGTCTGGAAACTTGTCATTGGAAAAGATCTATAGTAGACCATAATCGCATACATTTTTTCAGTGTGCTGAACATAAAATCTGGTTGTTGATGCGAAGAAACTAAAACTTATCTCTTTTCTTTGGGTTTTTGTATAGTACATTGATTTCACATGCTTAATGAAAATACAAGATCCACTGCACAAGAATTGTGTAAATCACTAAATGAAGAACCATATGATTTGAAATCCTGCGATGTTTTAGAAGCAGGAGATATTGTTCTAAACTAATCTCAGAAACTTGTGGAAAATTAGAGAATTATTGATATTGTAGCCTCCCTGACAATTGAACCCAGAAGCTAATGGTTTTGTGTCCTGTGTGTTGTTAAATTTCATCATTTTTTATAGATGGCAACCTCCGAGGATTGATTTTGATTGGTTCTGTAATTTACATGTAAATCCTCTCTCTATGTTCTGTATAGCTTCTCCTGTCTCTCCGATCACCAGGGGACGACATCAGTACGACTCCGTGGTGTGTCCTAAAGTAAATAGATACTGACACGGAATCCCTTACTGACTCCACACAGAATAGCCTATATACAGCATAATTCTATGCACTGGAACAATTACTTGGCTGGAATATTTATATAGGAAGTGTGCTATATAAAGTTGAAATATTGATATTTTTAAGTTAGATAAACTATAATCATGAATGATGACATGTGTAGTTTCCCTTTACTGATTGACCCCAGCAATTCCTATCCAAGTTTGACATTGAAAAAAAAATCAAATAAAAAAATTCTTACTTCCTTGTCAATTGAACCTCCTTCACCTTTTGGAGACTGATCATGACTATGATGAACATAGTTCAGAATGTGAGATTATTACACATAAGGCCAGCATTTTTTTATTTTTAGGTTTACGAACATCAGAATGAAAAATCAGAATGAAATAAAAAAAAAAAAATTAAAAAGTCGACTTTTGTACATTCATTTTGCTTCTTTTTCAATGTAGGAGGAGGAAATAGGAAAAAAAAAAAATTATTTTTTTTGATAAATTGTCTGGTCAGAGACCAGCAGAGCTTACTTTTGTACATTCATTTTGCTTCTTTTTATAATGCACACTCTCCTCATAGGCTCCTTGCCACTGGACACAAAATAGTTACAAATAGGAAGGTAGAACCTTTAAGTGTTTATTTCATGAATGGTGTTGCCGTGGTTCTGCCTTTCAAAAGTTTGAATACACTAAGGTCATGCAGTGATATAAATTTTGTGAAGTTGGTCAAAATACAAATTTAAAAAAAAATATCATTTTTTAAACTCTTTCAATATATATTCATCTTTTTTGAATACATGTTAGGTGAATGTGTAGAAATTGTTCTAAAATATACTTGAGACCTAAAATAATAATTCCTATCAATCATAAAACAGACAGGGAGTATTGGGGAGTGAAGTGAAATTTTTTTTTAATTAAGTGTAAAATAATTTTTCTGGCTGCCACATTCAAAACGATACTACATGCCTGTATATACATGTATTTGTATAAACTTTTTTTTTAATAGTTGAAATATTTCATTTCTTTAGGCTACTGTTAATTCTTCCTAAAATGTACTTAACTTTGTCTTCTCCCATATAGTTTTATTCATTACATCAGATGCATAAGCAATCCTTTTCTAAAGAATTATGCTTAGATTGTAAGCTATAACAGAGACCTAAACAATGTCTTTGGCAATAGCTACCACTGGCAGTTTTAAACATGTGGGAGGAAAATAATTTACAAACCTGTAGAATGTAGATACTTTTGCAGGGCTCAACATTAACACTTGTCCGCTTGTCCGGTACCAGTGAAAAGAAAATACGGACAAGTGAATACTGCTGGGTACTTGTCCGATTGGACAAGTGCATTTTAATGTAAAGGAGTCTATGAATAATAAAAAGAAAGACTGTTGAAAGCTATTCCGTAGTTTCAAGACGGAAGCTGTACATAAAAACCAGACTTCGATCCCGATTTGTATCGCTATATTAATACTGAGTTCATATTCAATGAGGATCGAAGTTCACTATATTGCATACTACTGAAACCAAAGTCATGGAAGATACGAACCGAAGTGTGGATTCTGTTTGATGCCGACAGGGTCACTTGTGGACATTTATGTTATTGTCAGGAAAGAAAGCCTAGATTAAATTTCGTTTCATAAATGTGTTTGTTGTATTTATCAATAACATTATGAATCAATTAAGCACATGTTATGTGTAATGAACTTTATTTTAATTTTCAAATTGAAACTACTAGATTTTTATTGAAAATTTTTCGAACAAGTTAAGTTGATGTTCGGACAAGTAAATGTCTTGGTCACTTGTCCATTCGGACAAGTAGGAAAAAAAGTTAATGTAGAGCCCTGTTTTGAATACGAATACATAATTATCTCACCAGCATGTCATTGTGCAACAAAGTCGTCAGCATTTTATTTGTCCTCTGAACGGGTGAAACGTTTTCATTGGCACTCCTATCAATAAATTTTTATACTAAACCATGCTATGGTGCTGCTATGGATTTTGCAGATCTATTAACTTTATTTACCCTCCATGTTCATCTTAAAACCAGAAGTACGAGTTCGTAAATTTGAAATCTCGATCCCGACTCAAATTTGACATCGGAAAGAAAAAATTCTGTTTTTCTCAATTTTATTTTTTTTCTGAAAATTCAAAAACTTGAGCGGCGGGTTTGTAAACCTAAAAATAAAAAAATGCTGGCCTAATGTTTATAAAATTCTATGTCCCTCTGTTGTTGGTGTGAAACTACCAGCCCTCTCCCTTGACCTTCCAAGAAATCAGAGAAGTAGAGTGTAACACAGAAGACAAAAAGATATATTGGTACCGGTACTTGAAATGGATGGAGGGGCTGGTAGAAATATTATGACATAAGTTTCCTGTGTTAAATCACTAAGTTATGGGGCAGTGGTAGAATAATGAATGCAGTGCAGAGTAAATCAGGAGAAATCTTCAGTGTTTGTATCCTGAAGCTGTGTATATATAATCCTGCAGTGTAGTGATTGTTTAAACATAGAGTAAACAGGTTTTATACTGTTCTTTGCGGCTCAGTTGAAGTCATTCTATGCTAGATTGATACATTTCTGCTGCAGGTAACATGGAATGGTTATTGCTGCACTGGATATTGGTAGGAGTCGTCTAATTTATTATTGATAACTTCATATTTCATTTCCAGGCCACAATGAGATAGACTGGAGGCTGCTGTATATGTGTTCCTGGGGTGGATCTAGAACTTTGAGGAGTGAATAGGATGGATTACAGCTCTTCTGTGTCACACTTACCTTGGATTGTGAATTCATGTTATAATTTTCTGTGTGTGTGATATCAGCCTAAACTGATTATTCTCTGACTGAATCACTGAGCAAAATGGCTGATCACTCGGATTTAGTCGCAGAAATCCCGAGCGTGGAACGCATGGGAACACAAGAAAGGCTGAAACATGCCAAAAAACGTCGTTCTGCACAACTAAAGAAATGGGCCAACTATGAGAAACAGTTGGATAAAGACAGTAACAAAAAATCTAAAAAAGGTCAGCCCCACAAAAAACACCGGCGAGCAAAGACCACGAGGGTACGCTTCAAAGGAAACATTATGTTACTGGAGTCCGCAGCCCGAAATGACTTAGAAGATGGTAAGTAAACTTAATATATACAGGTCCAGTACTGAGTTAAAGGAAAGGGCTAGTATATTTCGTATGCAGTATCTGTATATACATATTCATATTACTGTTGATCATTTATATGTGAGAACTTTATTTTTGCATAATTTCACAAGTCTGTCTGCTGGAAAAATTACATTCTTGCGTATATTTGTATTAGTCAAGGAGTAAAATACAACAAAAGCCATAACTCACAAATATTTAATCTTGCTTATAAAGACATAATAGCTTTTCTCGCAAAAATAAGGTGTCGTGAACATTGAAAGATCTACATTATTAAGCAAAGTTGTTAATTTATTAAATATGCTGTAGTAAAGAGAAAACAGTGAAACCTGTGTAACATGCACTGGGATGAAGAGATAAATTTTGTGTTGGAATATAAAGGGTGTCGGATTGCACAGTGTAAAAAAACATGGATTCCGAAAATACTAAAATGGGAAAGAAAATTAATGTCGGAATTCACAGTGTGACGGATTGCACAGGTGTTGGATTAGACAGTTTTCACTGTATTAACTTTGAAGTATATCAGATTTATTTTCTATTTAGTTTATCTTTATATTTGGTTTGTAATTAACAGTGAAGCGTCTCCTTAGTGCTGGGGTCAACCCTGATGTGACCAATGAAGATGGACTCACTGCCTTACATCAGGTCAGTGATAAGTGTGATATTTGTTATGGTAATTGATACAAAATTGCAAATCTAAACTTAATTCTTTGATTTGATACCCCCCCCTCCCCAGAAAAAAAAAACAAAAACAAACAAACAAAAATTCTGACCAGAGAAATTATATCTCAGTGAGAGAGGGTTATTTTTTGCCATCATTAAAGAAAATGTTTCTTTAAGCAGACAATGCAAAGAGCTAAAAGGCAAAGGACTGTCAAATGTACTTCTCCAGTAGATAAGATCTAGAAGATACAGAATCACGAGAATAGATTGTAATGTTTGGATTGAGTTATAATCTCCCACTGTCTTTGTGCTAGTATCGTTCTAAAAAGTTTTGGCTCCAGAATGAAGATTTTCTGAGTGGATTTAGAATTAATTATCTCAGGATGTTTGTTGTAGAGTGATGCAGCAATTGTTTCCCTCCCCATAAAACCAAATTTACAGCCAAAGCTGTGAGAATGTGTTATAGATATTAGGCATGAAAGTAAACTCTTTTGATATAAATCTGGCTAGGAGGAGCTCATTAAGGGGCTTCGTTATATTCATTATATAGATTTCTGTGATAATCTGCAGATGCTTAGACAATATACCTTCTCCCTTTGGTATATACACATGCATCTCTTATTTCTAATAGCTTTGTTATTGTGTTCATCATAGACATAGCAACTGCTCAGTGTAATACATACAATAGTCCCACAGGGTGCATTTGATTCTGTCTATAGCATGTCCAACTGCTCTCTATAATACATATGAAAGCCCCCAAAGGATGAACTACAGGAAGTCAATCTGCTCTCTGTAATGCATAAAGAAGCTTTTGATGGTACATCCTCATAAAGCATCTTCATTGGTTTCCTGAAATACATACAGTAACACCAGAGAGTATGCTAAATACAGGGAAATTTTCGCCCCTTTCGCCCAACCCTTATTGGGGCAAATTTAAAATGGGGTGAATTCAAAGCATGCAGTATAATTTCTTAAATAAAACGATGACTGGGCAAATTTAAAATGGCACAAATTCATTTGTCACAAGTGTGAAAGGGTGAAAATAACATGGGGTGGAGAATTAACCTGTATACAGTATGTTAATTTGTACCAAGTATGGTAGTTCCAAATCTTACCTAAATCTATATAAAGAATGGTAATAGTTCTCTGAGAGAACTGTGGTAAATCCATTTAGAATAAGCTAATAGCATGGAATGCTCCCTAGGGTGTGACTTCCAATTTACTGCCTTTCATTCTATGTCTAATTAGAACTGCAATAAATGCAAACATACAAACCAATAAAAGACTAACCAATTGGTAGTTCTTAATTTGTTTTTTATTTTGATGTAAATTTTTTTTTTTATATTTTTAGTGTTGTATTGATGACAATGAAGAAATGCTAAAGCTACTCCTTGAGTTTGGAGCGTCAGTGAATGCGCGGGACACAGAGTTATGGACGCCACTCCATGCAGCTGCCACTTGTGGACATGTTCATCTTTGTCGTTACCTCATAGATAAGTAAGCAGAGCATTTTACGGTTAACAGCAAAATAGAAAGAACATCACTGTTTCAGTTATTGTGGATATGGCAAAGCCAGAGTTACATGCTTCCTCTTAAACTTTTTATCCTGATATTTTAAGAGACAAAATTAAATTATTAGTGAACACAATTTTATTCCATCTCAGCCCATTGCAAAAGTAACCCTTATCATAATGACTCAAATGTTCAAAAAATGAAAGAAATTTCTAGAGGAGAGAGAATTGAATTTGTATTACACAATTTATAAAATCTAGATTTTAATAGAAAAAAATTTTTTAATTAAAAAAAATTTCAGACTTGATGTATCTTATTTTTAGGGGTGCGGAACTCTTGGCGGTCAATGCTGATGGTAATATGCCGTACGATATCTGCGAGGATGAAGTCACACTTGATTACATTGAAACTGAGATGGCAAAAAGAGGTAAATCCATGTGGAAAAATAAAACAACAGCTAGGTGGGCACTCTTAGCCAAAGTTCATGATATTGCCCTTACCATCTTGACACTCTTATCATAAGTTCTTAACCCCTCAACTTGGTTTTTGAGGGGTGAAGATTACTGTAAATCAAGTTTTATTCGCTTGCGAGAAATTTTTGTGAATATCACTCGCTGTGAACCGATCCTTAGTCTCTCTGTCCACGTAAGTGTTGATCCAAAAAAGGCTTGATCACGAAAATTAATCATCAGAACTAGTTTATGTCTGGTATAAAGCAAAATAAAGTCATCATGATTAAAAGTTGGTTTACTACAGTGTACATGGAATATGCTAAACACATCAATGCTGAATGGTTACAATAATCTAAGAATTTTTGCAAGTTTTTTCATCGCTGTCATTTGCCAAAATTTTAAATAATAAAAGACAAACAGTAGTGATTTTACTAAGTGATGTGAATTATAGAGTTACATGCTAAGTGCCTCTCTATTCAGAAGCAAACACGATAACCTAAGTGATGTGAATTATAGAGTACATTTACCACTTTTACCCCTCTATTATAAACTGTGCCTACTTCATCAATGATTAAATTATCTACAAATCATTTTACAAGCTTCAGAAGTCGGAGAAGAGTGATGTTGAATTATAACAATGTTGCTGTAATTTATTATTTACTTGATAGATGTCTGTGTCATTGAACTTTAGTGAATTCCCATTTATTGATGTAAGACTCATTCCATGTAAACATTACATTGGCAAATACTAGAGGCTTCAGTTTATGTTAGATAAGATTGATTCTGTTGATGAGAAACAGAATGATGATTTAGCAGATAATTTCTCTCCCATACCAGCTCCCAGTTATAGCTTGACTCAATACAAACAACACTGAACAAATCCCTACCCTCATCATATCAAAAAAGAAATGCAGCATTGGAATCTATCTGTCAGATAACATGGATAATGGTGGTGATATGCAGGTTGTGTCAAAGGTTTGCATAAGTGGGGTATTTGATCACAAAGTTTTGTATGAGTGATATTAACAACTGTTTCCGTCTCCCAAAAATCATTGAAGTAGGATAAGTATGTATGAAATATAGATGTGAAGACTGTATTGAAATTTATTTTGAATACCCTTAATGTTTAGTTACACATATATTTGATGTCTAATAACAACCATCTAGGAAACCAAGGGAAAAAAAATGTATTGCTCGAATAGAATAGGATAAAGATAATCTTATTATGATTTCCAGAAGTCGGTTTTATTCAACCAATCACCTAGTAAATAAATCCTTAATAAATACATACTTATGAAGACAAATGTTATAGGGAAGTGCAAGGGACATTGATATTGATAAGTATGTTAAGTAATAAATATATAACTTTTTAAACTACACACATTTTAAAATCCCAATCACTTTCCTGTAATATGAATTCACTATAAATGTGTTTCAGGTCTCCATGTTTTCCTGTATTTACCTTGATGAAATCTTTACCAGGTTGTCATAAGAAGTTCAAGCAACAGAAATGTACAGTTTATTATATTCCTGAGGTTTCTTTTTGTAGGAATTACACAAGAGGACATTGATGAAACTCGACTCATTCCTGAAAAACAAATGCTTAATGATCTAAAACAAATTGCAAAGAGAGGTGGGGATCTAGAGTTTATCAACTCTGAAGGAGCCACACCAGTGAGTAGAACTTATTTCCCAGGTTTCCTATTTGTATTACATTCTCCTGCATTGGAATAAAAAAAACTTAGAAAATAAGTAGTTTCTATAACTTTTAATTTCAAGAGTTTGATAGGCAAAGATAGGGTTTGAATTTTAATAAAATTGATTTGTATGACTACATTTTACATAAAACGGTAACATATCGCAGTTACTTTTGGCTACCCTGAGGTACAGTTGTACTTTGACTATAAATGTTATACTATTGCAGTTACATGTAGCTGCCGCTAATGGCTACCAGGAGGTGACAGAGTTTTTGCTGGACCACCACGTGTCTGTTGACAGAAGAGATTATGACTCGTGGCAGCCAATCCACGCCGCGGCCTGCTGGCTACAGGTAAACCTCGATAACGCAACATTGATTACTCCGGACACAGACTGGTTAAATCTCTATGTTATTATACCCCCCACAAACGAAGTTTGGGGGGTATATAGGAATCACCTTGTCCATCTGTCTGTCTGTCCGTCTGTATGTGCAAACGTGTCCGGTCCATATCTTTCTTACGGAGGAACATTAGAATCTACTACTCCACACAATTGATCTAAGGGTGTGACATGACTTTGACCCAAGGTCATTTGAGGAAGTTTGAGGTCACTAGAAAAAAAAATTCATAATTTGTGTCCGGTCCATATCTTTCTTATGGATAAACTTGGTAGGTTATAATTTCACACAAAGATTGCTTATAACCTAAGGGTGTGTCATGACCTTGAACCAAGGTCATTTAGGAAGTTCAAGGTCACTGGAAGAAAAATTTCATAATTCGAGTCCAGTCCATATCTTTCTTATGGATAAACTTGGTAGGTTCTCATTTCACACAAAGATTGCTCATAACCTAAGGGTGTTTCATGACCTTGACCCAAGGCCATTTGTTGAAGTTCAACGTCACTGGAAGAAAAATTTCATAATTTGTGTCTGATCCATATCTTTCTTATGGATAAACGTGGTAGGTTCTAATTTCACACAAAGATTCCTTCTGACTAAGGATATGTCATGATCTTGGGTCAAGGTCATTTGGGGAAGTTCAAGGTCACTGGAAGGAAAATTTCAGAATTCGTGTCTGGTCCATATCTTTCTTATGGATAAACTTGGTAAGTTCTCATTTCACACAAAGATTGCTCATGACCTAAGGATGTGTCATGACCTTGGGTCAAGGTCATTTGGGCCAGTACAAGGTCACTGGAAGAAAAATTTTATAATTTGTGTCTGGTCCATATCTTTCTTTATTATGGAAAAAACTTGAATCCACTACTTCACACAAACATTGCTTATGACCTGAGGTTGTGTCATAACTTTGAACCAAAGCCATTTTTGCAAGTTCAAGGTCACTGACAGAAAAAGTTCATAATTTGTGTCTGGTCCGTATATTTAGTCTATTCTTTTTATCAGGCTGCGCCTTCGTTTCATTTATAAAAAATATAATGAGCAATTACATTTGCACTAAAAATGTTTTAGCATTTCTCTCTTCTCTTAGATCCATAAAATATTCATGATATAGCACTTCTGAAAAACCCAGCGGGGGTATTTTGTCCCGTTTGGACAGTTAGGATTGTATTGGAATTCATATGTTCAGATCAATCATCACAATTCCTGACATTATCACATTTTCAGTGTTTTTCTAACGAATTGGCTACCAGACAAATTAGTAAAAATGCCACTTTAAAATAAAATAATAAAATTTTAATAGCTTTTAAAGGTACTTGGACACAGATTTGAAGTTAAAAATATAATAATTTTAATTAAAAATCTTATTTCATTTAAAAGTTATTAAAACTTTAAATTTTTTGGCGGGTTTGATTGACTCATCCTGGCAGTAATCCTTCAGAAAAGTGGCAATCTTGTTGTGTGTTAATGAGAAATATTAAAATTTTAATCCAGAAAAATAATTTTATTCAGAATAGAAATGTTAGAAAACAAAACACCTTCACAAGTATCATCATTAAGTCGTGTGTGCAAATCCGTGTTATGTACACAGTTTTTGTAAACAAGGCATGAGCTCTGTTTTTATTTATGTTTAGATCTGAATCGTCACAGTCTGCTTACCACAACTGCACGGAATGAGAATATATTGTGTGTTTGTTTTGCTTTCAAACATGTCTACTCTGAATTTTCTGAATTATAGTATCAATATTTTGCATTCATACACAACAAGATTGCCACTTTTTAAGTTGTAAAATTAAAATTTGTGAAAGTGTAACACTGCCAAAAAAATTAAAGTTTTAATAACTTTAAAATGAAATAAGATTTTTTAGTAATTTTTGTGTGAAATGCTATTAAAATATATACTTCGTAATATTATAGAGAAAAAAACAGAAAATATTAACTTCAAATCTGTGTCCAAGTACCTTTAAGTCCACAGAGTTTTGTCACAAACCTCAACCCTAAGCCTGTTACAATGAATCTCTAACCCTTTATTTTGAAATAAAGTGAAAACACTGCATTTCATAAATTGTTACCGTATAGCGGGTTATTTTAGCGGGGTTTTAATTTAGGCTTATTTTGGCGTTTTGATTGTAGCCCGCTAAAATTATTGTCGCTAAAATAGTCAGTACTCTTCTTAGTGTTCATCTGTGAAGGCCTGAAACCCTGTGTCCGCTAAAATAAATGACGCCAAAATTATTGGCATACCTTTGAGAAGGCAAAACGCCAAATTTTACAACCGCCAAGAAAACCCGCTATACGGTATTATATTTCATTTGTACTATAGAACTTGGGAATTTTATGCCTCATCTTGAAAATGGTTTGGTATGTCAAGGTTATAAAGTGGCTTTTCCAAGAGTGTCAACGCTGCATGGACTTCTAGTTAAACTGAAAGTTATTCAAACACAATAATTTGCCTTATATGTTTTACAAGGCTTAATTTGAGTGAAAGAGACATTTTCTAGCCCAACACTGTATATCTGTATTCTGTTTTATAGCCCGAGATCCTGGAAATTCTGGTGAGAAATGGTGCTGATATTGATGCCAAGACGAGAATAGGAGAAACAGCATTTGGTAAGCAACATCTGATCACAAGGTCACAATATCATGTGATGAATGTTTCAGCATTCAGAACAGCAGAAATCTGGTAAAAGAAAGCAAAGGAAGGCATATCCTTCATGTGAACAGTCTTATTATATTATTTTCAGGCCAATGCTAGATATTTTTATTCTGGTACTTTTAGTCCTATAAGAAATAAAATCAGTGATAGAAGGGAGTGCAGTTTTACACCACTTAATACCAAGTTTTCTGCTCTTCATCAGGAGTAAAAATAAACATAATTGTATTTTGTAGACCTCTGTGAAGATGCTGAGATTCGACAAAAAATCCTTGACATGAAAGATGAGATTGAAAATAACAAAGCCAGCCGTACAAAAGACAGTGTCCGTCGCAGTGCGAGACACACCAGTAGATCGTAAGTACCAGATAAATAGGGTAATGACGAGATGTGATAGCCTGTAACCACACAAGGTGTGGTACCCTGTAACCACATAAGTGTGGTACCTCAACTCTATGTAAACCACTGTGATAGGAATTTAAAGGATTAGCTCAGGACACCACCCAATAATGCCCCCATTTGCTAACCTCTGCTGAAAATCGAAGTTAACCTTTCTGATCAGATTTTGTTACTTGTCTAGCTTTTGTTATTTTTGGGGGGGGGATATTAGTTAAGAAATAGAGGGAGTGTAAAATCATGCTCTCTAGAACAAATGAAAAGGAATAGAAAAAAATGTATGGCAAAGCTTTCCAGTTGATTGTAAATTAAAGTTTATTTAGATCATGCCTTTTGGGGCCAAGATGATTCTTTTAACGGATGATCTTAGCATTTGGTTAAAACAGTGCTTTGAGGCAGGGACTTGGCCACATGTGGTTCATAGTTTCACCTTTTGGAAAATCTTAAGAACGATGGGGCCAAGTTGACTCAGGTGAGCTTTGTGGTCCATGGGCCTCTTGTTTAGAGTTTGGTGAGTTTCCGTTTGGAATCATAACACATATACACATCATATGAAAGCTTGTATAAAGACCTGGCTTCTTAGGCTTAAAAGCTTAAATAGTAGTAGCTTTTGTCCCATTGAAATTTCCCTTATTCTCATTTACTGTGAATTTTTTATTAAAATTTAGACGATTTCAATTTATTCATGTTTTTTTTTTTTTTTTTTTTTGAAGCAAATTATATTAAAATACTCTTGAAAATATGAAATTAGATAAAAACTTTTTTTCCTTAAACAATTTGAATTAAGTTGCCATTTAAACATTGCTTAAAATGGATAGAAATTTAAACCTTGGATAATGGTTTAGTCCATTCCCTGTGTCATACCCCACATTTATAGACCCTCCCTCCATTAGAATACATAGTGAATCATTCTCCATGAGACACACCCTTTATGTATAATATCTTATTTTTACCAGAGGCCATACCCACAAGTAAGTACCAGAACTCTGTAGGAATATTTCTCTTCTTTGCTTTTTATTCAGTCACATGTAAATATATATATAACCTTATTATTCTGTGTTACCTTTTTAGTTAATTATAGCAATGTGTATTAACCGTGTCACATTGGTATTGTAATGTGTGTATGAGTGTGCTGTTGTTGCACACTACACGTGTGTCTAAGGTCACTTTCCTAGCTGACCAATGACCTTGTAGCCGGCCTGAGGATGACCCATATTTATCGTTGTATACAATTCACTAGAGATATATGTCTGTATATCTATTGAGAATGTGAATGCTACTTTGATTATAGACAATAATGTATGAAGTATTTACACTGAATGTCTGCTTTGTGTATGTATCTTGTATATCTAGCGTCAATTTGGTGCATGTCTTATGTGTTGTTAATCTTCCTTGTTCTCTTTTGTGTTAATGATGTCAATGTATGCCATGTGAGCAATATTCTACAATGTTGTACATTGTATTGTACGTATTGGTCTTTTGTTTAAATGGAGTATCAATTACGAATTTCTAAAATTATTAAAATTATTTCTCTGAGGCCGGGCCGTTATTTTGTTGAATCTTTATGCCGCAAAGAAAGGTTCAAGATGAATATCAATAAAATCCAACTTAAATTGTCAAAGCAATCAATAAATAAACTTATAAAAACTCATTGAATGTTGAGTCAACAAATAGTAAATATTTTTGTACCATGGCCATATTGACACTAAAAACGCTCATGCATGGCACATGTGTTTTGTGAGTAAATATAGTTTGAAGAACTTTCACAACGATTCCAAAAATTTTCATGATGATTTTTTAAAATTATGATACAGTGACATACAATAGTCTAGCTTTTTTTTATTTCAATGAATTAAATGTCAGGGGTCATTATCCTGATTGAAAAATCATCGATGTGTAAACAACGTTCAAAACACTCTTTGAATTATATTGTTAAATGCTTTTTATCTGCCATTTTTTCTTGGAATGACCAGCTATTTTTGTACTTCTGTTAAAAATGCATGGCACATGTGTGTTGTGAGATGGAATGTCATGTTAACTGATCAGGACTACTGAAGATGAAATTTCTGTACTAGACAATGTTCTGCCGTAGATGATTCCTTAACAGTTGATTATTAAACTCTCTAGACATTGAACCTGAAGGAGGGCTCTGGGATTAAATTATGTGTTGGAATGCAAAATACCAATTCTCATCATATGGCCAGGGTGACTTTTAATAAATCACTCGGCCTGATTTCACTAAGAATATGTAGTTGTTCAGATGTAGCCGGTTCACCTCAATGTTAAAGGAACAAGAAGGGCCTTGAGATAATCCTGAATCAGAAATGTTTTTAGGAGTGTCCAAATTAACTGGCATTTTTATCCAATCTGTGTCACAGCAAGAACTCTCTAATCCTGTCCCTCAAAGGGCAACCTTTTAGTTAATGATAGAAACATCAGAGTAAAACATTGAATGATAAAATGGAAGTTTGATCCTAGGTTTGAGATTTATAGTTGATTCATGACAGAAGATGTAGGTGATTCATAGAAAGTTAATTCATTTGTCGGTGCAGAGCAGGTTGTTGAAATTTTTAAATGTTCTGATTTTCATCACAGAACAAAAGTAGTTTGATAATACTAGTATGTAATGATTTTGATTTGAAGTTGTACAATTTCTATAAAATTTCTCTTTTAGTTTGGCAATTGTTTTCCTTTGCTATTTACGTAGTTTATTACAGTAATTAGAAAATTTAAGGCTAGGTAGTTCTCTACAATGTATTGTTGTGGCTTGTTGAAGGCAGAGGTTTCCACTTTGAAATTCTGGTAGCTTAAATTACTTAGATTCTTACAATAGAAGGCTTTTGTAATCAGAAAACTCTCTGTAATTGGAGGAGTTGAACAAATCATATATCCAGTATTTGTTTATTTCAATTTTTCTAATTCATTTGTAAAACAGTTTTAAAAATCCAGAATGACTATTTGTGAGTAAATAGTTTTTGAGGTGATGCGTATTTTCTGTTTCAGCTTATCAAATAGTTCGGGTTCAGTGACGAATTCCAACACGTCACTGAACGAGCATTATGAGCACCCCCACCACCACCACAAGGCCTCCAACAGGTGACGACTCCGACAATAACCTCACTAACACTCTTGCTTTAATTCACCGCTTTACGCTACCTCTCTCATAGTCAGTTTACCCCCTCTCTTATGATGCCCCGACCCATCGCGTGAAAACCTGCATAGTCTATTGTATTAGCATGTAATTATAGAGCAATTGTCAATATAATTCTATGATTTCCTAAGATACTGAATAGATTAATTTTGTACATTTGGTATAATGATGATTATATGCTTATATGCTTAAATAAAAAAATATATCAAAAGTTCACTAACGCATATCAACCACAAGAGGCTTGAAAAATTAATCAGCCATTTTTTTAAAAGGATAATGTTGAAAATCTTAATGTCCCTGGGGAAAAGCCAAGGTATTTTCTGTAATTGAAAGATTCAGGAAATAGACCCTATAAATGTCCTTGCTAGATGATTACATGTAAGATCAGTCTCTGATACCCATGAGTCTCTTTTACCTCTGAGTCTGTGTTACCCATGAGTCTATAGCTCTATTACCCATGAATCTCAGTATTACCTACAAGTATTGCGCATGAATCTTTCATATTCCTGTTTTCAATATACTGACAAGTCCTCATTTCCCTAAGTTCCATTAGAGGGTTTAACCAACGCATGCCCCCCCCCCCTTTTATAAACCTTTGTCCTCCAACATCTCCACAATTGACCCACAAGTTTCTACTACATTATGTACCAGTAATTGCCAGTGGATGGGTGTAGATAACTTTGTACTGGTTTAGAGTTGTTTTATTTTGCTAGACTTTAGCATGGATTAGCATGGTTTTTATTTATGCTGAATTTTGATTTTATTTATCCCATTTACTTTGCCTGCAGGTGTGTAGAGGTGTTTATTATACATAATATTGGTTTGCAGTTTGCTAATCTTATTTTTTTTCACAGTTTTGATTTATTTGTTCCAACTTGTGTTTAATCCAACATTGATTTCGTTGCCAGTCAAGCCTGCATAATTTTTTTTCCATGGTCACTCAATACATTATATCATTCCAAATTAATTTTGCAGAGAAAAAAAAATAACTGCATCATAATTTATTTTTCTAACCTTAAAAAAATCTATGTCAAAAAATGTACAAATCTGTTTCAGAACTTCTGATCATCTTGGGAACTATTTAGCCCATTTTAGGTATTTTTTAAATTGAAAAATGTCATTAGATCTGAAGGAATATAGTGTTTCTTTTTTCAATGTAAAAGAAGGTACTTTGCAACTTTTAATTTATTTTGATTGGACATTCGGGAAAAAAATCTTCGTAGAAAGATTCCTATTTCCTCACAGTGTGTATAAAAGCTTCATGGACATGGATTGCTAATCAGTATAATAGCCCTGTACCTGGGTTTATTTAGTTAATTACTCTGTAATTGGATTTGTTATACAATTTAATGCCTTCAATTTAATAAGCTTTCTTGCATCTTTTTTAGATGTACACATGTACTTTTGATTTATTTTTTCTTACTTTTTAGTTCGCCATGTAGTACCCTGCATTCTCTAGTAGACAAGCAACTTATTATATAAACTTGACCTTAATACAGCAGTTAAGAATTATCACTGTCAATGTGTCTATTCAGCACTTAGATGGGATTTTTTTATTTTCACTTTAATCAGTTATTACAGAATCATTTTCAGTGGATTACGAGGGTTGTCCAAAAAGTTCGTGGGCAATGACACTTTTGTTAAAATAAATAGTTCTATATGCATCTATTGTATATTAAAATATTTCATATGAAAAAATAAGTCAAAATGATATAATTTTTATTGATGAAACTTAATATTTTTGTAAAAATCAGGGTCTTTAAAGATCGCAGATTGTGCGCACGGACCAGTCTCACGTTTAGCTAATTTCATTATAACGTCAAACATTTGGATTTTGTCTTAATACATGTTCATGGACACACACTACATTTGTTTAAGGCGCAACGCACTTCCAAATTCTAGCAATAATCTTTAAGTATAGATTATAATTTATTTAATTTTTAAAATTCAAAGCAATGCACAAAAATTTACGAGCGTCATCTAAATAAACAGTTCGTATACACAAACTGCACAGCCCAGTCCGACTCTGTGCTAGATTTATAACAACGTCATGAATAGAAATCTTCATTTTTAGTATATTACATGTGTTTATAAATTCTTGTAGTGTCTTCGAATTTGTACACACCGTTGAAAAATTGTATTTACCAATCTCAAATCAATACATTAAATATATTTCAATAATTTTGAGTTGTTTTAACAAGTATTTTTTCTGTAACGTCATTTTAACCGTATTAAAACTTGTTTTTTTGATCGGACGCTGCCCCGTGCGGATGGCCGACATCGCTTTTTCTGTTGAATTTTGACACATATTTGTTAGGGTTTTCTTTTAGTATTTTCACTGTCTTTATAGTAAGTGATACTTAAGATATCATAAAATAATTATAGCCTCTTTATTTATGTTACATAAAATTTTTATTAATTTTTGACTTGTTTTATATAGAAAATAATCATATTAATGCGAACACGTTATATTAGAGATTTTGTCATTTTAACCTTGGTCCGCAGTGGCGTAGCCAGGCCACTTTTGATGTGGACGCAAGAGTAGGCAGGGGGTTTGGGGGCCTAATGTCCCCAATGGGTCCGTGGTTAATCCCTGGTGAGGATCCAATGGGCGATGCCCCCGACAGCTATTGAATTTTGATGAGCATATTCGACCCTCCTGATCGCATTTTTCTTACACTTTAAAGTTTATTAAGCACCCATGTTTTCGAGGTCTGTTTTGTTTTTGTAGAAAACATGTACAAACACTCTAAAATGAGAAAGGATATGCCCAATACATTGTATTGTTGTTTATGTTTAATATGAAGAACCCACTTAAAACAATTTTAGACCTTTGAAGAGACAAAATACTTATGATAAATTAATCGGTTGAAGTGGTACATATGTATATAAGAATGTAATGCACTTAGAAAAAAAAAACAGCAATACGTAAACCAGATTCAAGGAAAATCTAATGATTTCAGAAATAGAGATGTCTACTATCATATTTTCCTCTAAAACTGATTCTGTTAATTTTTAGTTTGTTAATTTTTAGTTATCATTTAACGTTTATTAAATTGTTTCTAAACATTTCTTCTATTTTGAAAAGTATTTATTTATTGCAAAATGATTTAAGAGCATAAAAATTTTGCCTGCCTCTCCCTCTCTCCTTTTTTCCCTAAAATGATGTGGACGTTTTTGCGTACAAACGTACGCCTGGCTACGCGCCTGGTCCTTGCGTACTATCTGCAATCCTTAAAGACCCCGATTTTTACAAAAATATAACGTTCTATCAATAAAAATTAAATCATTCTTACTTGTTTTTTCATAAGAAATATTTTGAAATACAACAGATTTATGTAGAACCATTCATTTTCAAAAAAACGTCATTGTCCACGAAATTTTGGACAACCGTCGTAGACACTAGAAAACGTTTCCTAATTTTTTTAGTGTTACTTACTGTCTGTACTTATTCATGTTTTTAGTTTTTTTGTCATTCAGTGGCTTGAAGTTTTGATTCCTGTTATTAACACATTTTATTTTAGGAAACTTAATTTTATTTTGGAAATGGTGTCATAATATGTGTGTGTTGTCATGGTAACTTTACTTAAGAGCCAGTCCGCGAGAAAACCATGCAAAATTCAAAAAATCGTCCAAATGGAAGGTTGCAACTTTGGAATTTATAGTGGCTTAAAATTTTCTACATAAAGGTAGAAGTCAGAATATCCACAAAAAAATGTCGAAGCCTGCATCTATTTTTAGTAACAGCTCATTTGCATATTTGTCGAAAATCACACAAAATTTAATGGAAAATGTATACAAATTGATCAAGTCAAAAAGTTACCTTTTGTCATCAGTTTATTTTCAAATTTTGTTTTATTTTCAAAGTCATGGTCCAATTAACACAATTAATGAGGAAAAACTTAATTCAAATGAATATTTTATTTTTTACATATCTATTTATAGATCCTAAATAAATGAGTATGATTTTTTAGCCATTTTTAGATGCTCGTTTCTCTCAAGACCAAGGTTGAAATTAAATGAAATTAATTGTTACTTTAAGATTGATCTTAGGTCTACTCTGTATTAAAATATTGAGCTTGGGAAATAATATCTACATGCTGTAAATTAACTTTGAAATAACATATTTTGCTACAATTTCACATATTTTAAATAACAGTCTTTTACTATATTTTTGGATTATTTCTATGATATTTAAAGAAAAAGAGGAGATTCTTAATCTAATATATTTTTTAGAAGAGGAATAACTGATTTGGACACTTCATATAACTTTCTTTTGCTTATTTTACCCCCTTGTTACTAATTTGCTGGAGTTAAATTGTTATCTCCCCTTGTTGGAACTCTTTTGTATTATTGGGTAAAAAGTGACAGGTATGTCAATATGGAAAGAAGAATGTCATGTATGATCATTTTTTCTTCACCTAGGGAGTTGTTGTGGAGCATTATTGCACTATGAAAGAGGGAAAACTTATTTTAAGATATCTGAATGTAAAAAATAACAATTTAGCTTGAATAAACAAATACATGTAACAGGCCCATAGGAAGCAATTTCAGTGTGGGGGAGGGGGGACAACCTACATTATCAACTATAAAAAAAACCCCAAGAATTCCATAGAAAGTAAAAAAAAAAACACATAAAAGTTCATCAGTTGTTTTTTATTTGGGGCATATACATGTAGTAGGTATGTTTTCTATTCTATAGGGTTCTGTCCTCGGGGAATCTACATGTATTTCATGGTAATTAACAGATACAATTTTTTTCCTAACAAGTACAATTGAATAGGAATTAAATCAAATAATAACATATTTTTAATCAAAATATACATTTGATATTTTGTTTAAGGCACCTCGCCCCGTTCAAGTTGAAGATCATTTTATTCACTCAAACCATTTCAGGTACATGAGGACAATGAAGAATATTTACAACATATAAATTCAGGTCAGA